GTAGAAAAAGAAAGTGAATTTCCTGGAAAAGGCAAAACCTTGAGTACCTAGAGAGGGAATAAAATAAATTGGTGCATAGCCAAAGTAATTGCCATGCCAACTTGACGGGAAAAGTAGAAAAATGCTCTACACATGGGAGTAAAAGTATCTTGTGAATATATGGAAAGATAATGGGAATTATGTTATTGGTAGATATCCTTTGCTTAGAGTATCTCATATCTGATGAGCATACTTAAAGGTTTATATTTTACCGGATATAATCTTTCTTTTTCTCCAAGTTTACCACTGAAAAGTGTTGATGCCAACAATCTTTGGAAGGACATTTTATGAACGTTTAGGGATTTCAAAGCAGCCACAATATATAGTTTTGTATACTTCTCTTTCCTTTTCTAACTGGCATAGCACCAGAATGCAACTTAAGAAAGCACAGACATGACCAAGTGGCAAATCCTCATGGACTCTGTTACATTCTTCAAGTAATGTCTTGGATCTCTTCCAGTGTCAAGGACACTTAGTTAACTATCAGGATAGGCATCTATCCAGACAGTTGACAAGTTTTCTGAGCCATATAGGGTAAGTGTAGTATCTTTTACACAAAACAGGCACAAACTAAATTTTAACAAGCAATTTAGGAAAGGCAAAAAAGATCTATTATTTTATAGAGAAAACTGTAAAACCATGACCACTTTACCCTTACTTTCTCAAATAAATTAGGACTACTAAATTAGAAGACATTATATTGGGTTGTCAATATTTTATTTTGGTGGCATATAATGATCAAGTTCACTATGTATTTTGTAATACATTTTGCTGTTATATGCAAATATGGTTTGTATATTGCCCTTAGTAATATATGCATTTTTTTCTTCATTTGTAAATATTCTTTTTTTATTGGTTGTACAAAACATTACAAAGCTCATGACATATCATCTTTCATACATTTGACTCAAGTGGGTTATGAACTCCCATTTTTACCCCAAATACAAATTGAAGAATCACATCAGTTACACATTCACATTTTTCCATAATGGCATATTAGTGACTGTTGTATTCTGCTACCTTTCTTATCCCCTACTATCCCCCCTCCCCTCCCCTCCCATCTAAACTGTCTATTCATTCTGTTGGTTGACTAAGGAGACTATGTGCATAAAGAGACTGGGGCACTCAGTCTAAGTCTCTTTCCCTTGCTTTTCAAATACTTTGTTTTTCTACAATTTTTATTTATCTTTATGTCCAATTTACATTCAAATTACTTTCCTAAAAATGGATAGAAGAAGAGACTATCATGTTAAGTGAAATAAGCCAGGCTCAGAAAACCAAAGATCATATGTATTCACTTGTATGTGGAAGCTAGAAAGATAAAATAGGGAATGGATTTCATGGAAACAAAGGTGAGAATAGTAGAGTAGAGAAAGAGATCATATGGAGGGAAGAAAGGAGGAAAATAGGAGGCATTAAGAATGAAATGAACAGGATTATATAATGTATATGTACAAATGTCACAATTAATCCCACAATTGTGTATCTTGCACCAGTAAAAACTTAGTTCTCTGCCCTCCCACTAAGAAAAAATTTAAAGAGAATCATTCTCCTTCGGTCAAATCAAATAGCATACTTACTGATCTCTCTTTTAAGTACCAGAAATCTCTCTTTTAAGTACTAATAGCACAAACTACAAAATGATGTCCTAGATTAGAATAGATAGGAGAAAGCAGAACTCAGAACATACTGAGCACTTGTTATTACAGAATTATTCACGACAAATGACAATTAGAAGATGTTGTAATGGGTGAATCATCCTGAATTACAGCCAATGTTAGTGAGAACCCAGATTTCATAGTGGAAGGCAATCAATCATCTTGTGGATGAAGGAAACAATGTTGGAGGTGAAGAAGAGGTTTGGAAAGAAAAAGTAGATCCTTGGTATAAACATTTTCCTGAATCTTCAGTCAGATATAGACTTGCTACTTGTAGGAATCAATACATTTCTTCACCTTTAAAGTAATTTAAAGTGGATTATCCTATGGCCTGCAGCAACATCAATAAATAACACAGTAATTGATACAGTGACCCCAAAATGTTACACATTTGACAAACTTGAGTTTACAAAACTGTGTTTTATGGTATACAATATAATCAGGGAAAAGAAATATGGTATTAAAATAATAAATGGTATATGAAACAGACACATCATGTTGTTTTTGTTATAACTGGAAATATCCACATAGATGTCCCTGTTAGAGTCCTGAGGCAATAAACTTTATTTAAACTGAGATATCATCAGTGACTGTTATTTGTAAAAGATATTCTTTTGTCAATCACCTTTGAGTTCTGAAAGTGGATAAAACCTATGTGCATTATCTGCACAGCAGATAGATTTAATGGATCATAATTAAACAGTTTTAAGTAACCAAACTGCATTTGAAATACAAGATTGTGACTGAGGTATCAGAAGTCCTGCTTTATCATAACACTATTGTTAATCCTGTTGGGGTGCAGCATGGTAGAAAAGGAAACAGGAGCTTTTTCAGTAATTTATTGAATATCATAACAAATATAGCCTCCCATCTCCATTGTAAACATGTACCAATTCTCTTTAGAGTGGAGAGAAACTAGATTTTAACTCATTAACTAGAGACACTAGCCTGTCTTCTTTGGTAGGTCTCTTGAGTACAAAAGTCAGCTCTGCTGCTTATTTGTGTTTTATTTATACCTTATATGCTTGCATATTTTTAAAAACACTTTTTCCTTTAGAGGACATGTTTGCAGTTTCATTTAAAAATAAAATTTAGAACAATACAATATGTTCTACTACCACAGAGTATGAACAATAAAGTTCACAAATTATACTTACAGAATATCTCCAAGTAAATAATATTTTTTTTAATCAAATACTCATTCAACACTTAACTATGTTGTACACAGGAACTGTACAAGGCCCTAAAGATAGAGAAGTAAACCATGAAATCATGGCCCTTGTCCTCCTGAATTTTATCTTCTAGGGAAGAATATTAAAATTAAACAAATAATTACATTAATAAACATAAAATTATATTAATAATAATTATAAAGTTAAACTAAAGGTGATTACCAGCTATAATAGTATGTCAAGTTAAATCAGGGAACATCAGAGGGACATTTTTGCGATGCAACATTTCAACTAAAACCTAAATCATCAATGAGGTTATCCAGCCAAAATAATGATAATAATATTCCACAACTGGGGGAGGGGGTAAATAAGGTAGAAAGATTATAAAGGAAGCCAGGATAGTTTCAATGGTTACTGAGGAAAAGCCGCATGACAACTGAAGCTCTGGAAACATGCTATTAATAGTTCATACAGTGCACTAAAATTCAACTCCAGAATTAGGGACTTTCTAATAAGTGTAATCAAAACTTAGTGAAAATTGTAATGAGAAATTGGGTGTAAATTGTGTAAAGATTATTATTTTTGGATCCATTTTGAATAGTGGATTACATGGAGACACAAGAATCAGAAAGCCAACCTAGAGTATCACTAGATAGAAGATGGTAGTAGGTGAGGCTTGCTTTTGAGCTAATAGAGATGTAGAAGATAGAAAGAATCAAGTATCATTTTAGATAAGTTTTTAATATCAAGGTAGGTTTGAGTAGCTGAGTCAGTTGAGTTCATAAGGCTAAATTTTGCAAAAAAAGAGGATCTATTTAGATTTGGATAGTGAATTAGTTTATCTCTCTAAAATATAAGATCTATAAGAAGCCCAAATATTAATGTCAAATCGCCACTTGTTAAGAAGGAGGAACTAGGGATGAGAAGAAATGTCTGTGATAGAGAAAATTCTTGTATATAAATGAAATTTAGTTACCCAAGTGGATGTGCCTTAAAAAAAAAAAGCTTAAAGCAGGTGTCCGAAGAACATCTCTTTTCTACATAAAGGGATATCAAGCGAATATTTCAATATTTTATGCCATACATTTTCTATGGCAGCTAAAAAATGTTGCCACTGTAATATAAAAGCATCCAGGGACTACAGTCAGCAAATGGTTGTGCTATATTCTAACACAAATTTCTTTATTAACATAAACTATAATCCTGATTAAGGGTTGCGTTTCTTGACATATGGTTTGAAGCATTTGAATAAACGGAATTGGAGGAGGAAGAGAAGGAGGAGAAGGAAAGAAATACTAAATCCTGAATCCTATGGATTTTTGTTTAATTTGTCTCAGGAATCAAATGGAAATTAGTCTGGAATAAAACTAGGGATCATGATTTTTAAACACTTCATTGATGGTTCCAATGTGCAGCAAATGAAGCTACAACCAATGATTTAAAGTGTTTAAGAAAGGCCTAAGAAATAGATCAGAGAGGAAGTTTACAAATTAAAGGGAAGATGGAAATGTAGCAAAGAAGAGTGAAAAAAATAGGACTTTGTTTCAAGGAATTAAAAGAATAAAAAGTGTCTTAAGAAGGAAGATAAAAATATCAGTACCAAGAACTGCAATACACCCATTTAACAAGTGCTGACAATGTAATATTTACTTTGTATGTCTTAATATATGAGCTCTTGAGTAACCTTTTGAGAAGTTACTTTTATCTCTTTTTTAAAAAGCGTGACTTAACTAAAACACAAGTAGATAGAGTAACTTGTCAAAGATTTTGAATTATATAAAGGCAGAGCTGGGAAAATCTAGCTTGGTAACACTGGCTTTTGCTCAAGTGTATTAAGATCTTTTAAAAAAAGTATTTTTACTGATTATAGGAAAATGAATGCCAAGAGCATTTTTTTATCAAGATAGATTTCAGTGACAGAAAGAAAACCAAGTAAACATGTGAAAGTTGAGGGAAGGTGATGAACAGAGAGATATTATGCTATGTTAATCTGGTAAGAAGTCTAATAAGCAGAATAGAAAACTTAAACATTTTTATCAAGTTTTAAAAAGTTTGTTTATTTGTAACATGTGAGAGATGAATATTTTTTCTTAAATTACTACTATATTTAAATTCTGATGAAATCTCTTAGAACAAAATTTGGAGAAAGAACATACAACATATAGATCAGAGATACGGGAAGCTGAGAGAGATGGGAACCAGGACAAATTAAGAGGCTTGGCCTTGACTGGAAGAATATTCTATTCAGTGTTACAAGAAGAAACCTCAGTATGAACACACATGCAGGTTAGAAATCTATTTATTTTTAGAAAGAATAATGTATTCCCAAGCAAGAGTTTCCATTTTCCCTCCAACACAACTATACTAGAAAGAGCATTTTCTGAGAGAATGAATGTGTTCATGAGAGAAAGGAATTGCAGTAGAGTAAAATGGCAAAAAATATAAATGAATCCCTGCAAATACTGGGCAGTGAGCTTAGACAGCTGCGATAAGGGACAGGGCTGCTCTGCACCTCTGAGTGCATTTGAGATGGCCAACCATGAATTTCCATGCACCACAGTAAGGCAGTGGGGATATCTGTGGCAGTGCAGGTGTTCTGCTCAAGGCTCAGGGAAGACATGTGTTTTTCTGCATCCAGAACTAGGATTTTGCTGTAATGGCACTGGGAAAACTAGAGTTCCTTTACTAGACTCAAGGATGTGAATTACCTCATCAAATACCTGTGGCAAGTTTCTACCACATCTTTTAAATCTCTCCTACACAGAGTTTACTTAGTTTCTTAAGTAGTATGATCAAGTGCAAGTTCTTAGGATTCCATATTGTTGAATATATTTTTACAAGGTAAGTTTTTGGCAAAAGTCAGAAAATAAATTTTAAATATAATTTAATTTCAATGACTGGAGACAACAGATAATATAAAGTTTTAATGTTTAAATTTCCCACAATTGATTTAAAAATCATGCTTTTGAAAATGTAAAAATCAAATTTTTCTCACCAGATTTAAAGACTTAATTTAATATCCCAGGAAACTTATAGGTATCAAAATAACTATCAAAGTCATCAATATTATTTCTGTGATATATTACTAATTAGAGGAAACAATGAATTATAGCACAATTAAAAGAGAAACTGTTCACTACTTCATAACTATGTTCCCTTAAGTAAACTGGAAAGAAACTACGAGAAAATAATTTATTTAACAATATATATATATATATATAAATGCATACACATACATTTATATATATATATATTAATTGATGGATGTTTTATTCTTTGATATAATAGGCTAATAGTAATTATTTTAAAGTCTTCTAACTTTATTAATATATTTTCATCATGTAATGGGTGTGGAAGGTAATTATAAATGTAAAAACATTGATTTTCACTTGTTATGTCATTATTTAAGTTTTACTTTTCATAGAGATTCTTTTATGGAATTTTTATGATATAAAACTAGGAAATGATGCATTTATTGTCTTTCTTGGAACTGAAGGAAATTAAGAATAAATGTGTACAATACTCAGCATACAATTCAGAAGAGGAAATAAGGAGAGAAAAGAGAAGCAAATAACAGTAATATTCTAAGAGGCATGCTATAGTGAAAGAAACATTTTAAATTCTTCTTTTATTCAAAAACTGGATACACTAATAGTCTCTTTCTCCTTTCCCTTCTATATATCCAGGAATTGAAATACCTGTATCTAGAACAAGCAGCCTCACCCAGCTATGAATGTGGACAGAGCTTCTTGAATGACAATTCAGCCCTCTCTGGGGAAGAGGGCATGTTCTAGATTGGAGAAACAAAAGGAGCTGTTGATGGACCTGAAAGTCTTAGGAAGAAGAATAAAGATGTTTTAAGGGAAGAGTTTCCCAAATGCTCAAGACAGGAGTATTGATTAGACCCATATTTCTGAGTCTGTGGTGACTTCTCTCATGTTCATTGAGTAGCTGAGCGTATTGTGTGCTTGAATTGCCCCTCTGAGTTCTCAAAACTCACAGGATTTACATAAGCTAGCAGAGATAACTGAAACTAAAATACAGGACTGGTGCTTCATATGATGACTGTGTATGCCTGACAGCCTGACACAAAACAAACAAATATAAATGTTTTTGGCAAGAATTATATCATTCTTGACTCATGCAGATGTTGATGCATCTCAAACATCAATTTCAATAGCTGAAGCAAAGAAGGAAAATCCCTACTGTCTTAACCTCTGTCATTATTTTTATTAATTCCACAATTCCATTTAGGATAAATTTAAATTTATATCCTGATTTACTTGTATTTCATGTATCTTCCATTTGAGGTAATAACTTCTATCTTTTCAAGAATTTTGAGAATGTTTCCAAATGCTACTTTCATTTTAAAAAACATCTGCTAAATATTTAACATATGAATTCCAGGGACATACTAGTTACTAGATAAATAAAATAGCTTGTTGGGAGAGAAAAATAAATAAACTAACATTTAAGCATAGTGTTTGCTGAGATAGGATAAGCTCTGGATGTTTTAAGGATAAATAGGAGTATATTTCATCTAGCTGTGAGGATTATGGAAAAGCTTCCAGGAAAAAAAAGTAAAGAACTATGAATAGTCTCACAAAGTTGGAGCCTGATTTTCAGGTGGAGTTGGGGGTTTTCAGGTGAAGGATGAGGTGTTGAGAGATGAAGCTTGATAGTTGGGGACTGATCTATGAATGCCCTCCCTATGCATAGTACATAGTTTGGATATTTTCCCTAAATTCTACTGAAGTCACTGAAAGATTTTTGGCAGGAAAAAGAAGTGGCTAAGTATGTATTTTATATAGTTCTTTACATTAGGTCTTTGCAATATGTTTTTGAATATCTGACAATGGAAAGAGTTTAGTCAGGGAATGGTGGAGGTTTGATAAGACATGATACATAAACTCAGTAGAATCAATATATTCAAATGATTGAGGTTGGAAGGCAAAATGTTGTAGTGAGGAAGTATACTCAGGATCCAAGTTTGGGTGACTAGAAAAAAGTAATGGCAGTAAACAAGATGTATAATGAATAAATAAGGATCAATACATTTGTGTGAAGATTTTGGAAGGTATATCTTTGATATTTTGACTGCTTTTATTAAACACCCTAAGTGTGTCTAATTTAGGTGGAATATGATGTCTTCACTAGACATGCAACCCTTGTAAGTCACTCTAACAGGCATGCAAAGTGGTGCTTTGTTTTTCCTAGTGTTAATGTCAACTCAGATACTTAAAGGTCTGAGTACACTCCCCTCCTTTGACTTGTGTAGCTAATTGAGCTAAGTGGGTATGTTCATTTAAAGAAGAACTGGATAACTAATTTTGGTAGTTTCATGCGATTTGTTACAGAGTTTTTCCCCTTTGGGACATGACCAACTTTTCTGGTCTGGGAACTGAAATAGAAATTGTGATTTTTTTTTATTGTAATAACTGTGTTCAACCTATGGTTTTGTTTTTCAATATTAAATTTTTATTGCTGTAGGCATCAATAAATACATCCTTGTTGGTGGCGAGTAGTAATCATAGTTTGCTAACTATCTTCAAATTCCCTGTAGGTCATATTCTTTTCCCAACCCTCAATATTTGCAGTGTATTATGTTATTTGAAGACTACTGGCTTCTGATGAAGATTTCTCACTCTGCAATAAGATCATCCTTGTAATAAGATCATCATGGGTATTGGTGAGTCATCTGTATGACCACCTCTCCTACCATCAATGCTAGTGAGCAGCAAAGAACCACCATTGCATGTCTTAATAAATCTGGTGCTCCTTTTACCTGTGGATTCTTAATTATCTGGATTCATTTACTGAGAACATATTCCATGTCCTAAAAAGGTGCCTCCAAGTAAATAAATGGTTTCTGTAACTTTGTAATTAAATTTTCCCAAAGAAGAATCCCTGTAGGACATCCCCAGGGTGCTTCTCTGGCTCCTACTGGTTAATGCTAGCTAATCATTGCAACTCTTTCAATGAATGATGGCTTTATTCTCTCACTAGGCCCTGGACTTCTTCATTTAGGTTGTGTTGAAATATTATACCTAGCCTGAGTATCCAAAAAAAAGAGGTGGTAAGGACAGTTCCTGAATGGGAGAAGACCTGTGTCCTTGTATAAAGAATGTTTCTGCATCTTTCTGTCCAGAAAGAAATGCTAACATTTACTGGTGAATGACAGGACAGTTATGCAAGCTCAGAGGCTTCAAGGAGCATAGCAGAGCCAATGTACTCAAAATCATTCATCAAAATGTCTTCTTTCCATGCCTCAGAATTCCAGATTTTCACCATGGAGACATGGCTTTTGTGAGGGAAAAACAAAGTCAAAAATAAATATTTAATGTACAGTGCTTTCCTAAGATTTTTTTTAAAGCTTAAGGGGAGTTGTCAAGTGAAAGTCATCAGAAAACTCACATCTCCTGAAAATAAGCCATCCTATTTATTAATTCCATGCTCATCATTTCACAGCCATTGAAATGATGGCTTCACACATGATGATTTATTTTGGATTACAGCACCTGGGGCAGTTGACCAATTAAGCTTCTCAAGTTGGTGACATAAGAGAAAAATTTTTATGGCTACTGTATGTAAAAAAATAGAGGAACAATGGAATAAATATATAATTTGATATGAAATTAAGATGAATCAAGATGGGTTTGTTAAATGGTAGGTTTGGATGATATGAAGTTTCACAACCAAAGTAGTAGCAGCTATAACAACAACAACAAATATGATCTAGATTTTCTTTCAGACATTTAGTCATCATGTGAAAGTCAGTCATATTAGAGACTTGATATAGCTACAAAGAACTGCCTGCTCTGTCAGCTGAGACTACAACAAGAGTGGAAGGCACAGACATACTAACATTTAATAAAAACATTCTGTTTCACTTTAAGCATATTCATTTTTTAAGGGTTAGAGGGTGCTAGAATACTAGAATTTCTTATTTTTTTTCTAAGACAAACAGTTTGATTCACAGAAAGAGAATAAATATTAGATGATTGCATTTATTAAAATGTGGCACTTCCCTAGGAATTCTCTGAGGCTCAGTTATCATCCCCTCCTCTCCGTGGATAATGTGATTCTAGATGTTACTAATTAAGTCTCTGTAGAGTCTGTAAGTCATCTTTACATCACACTAGCAGTTATGGAATATGATGTATTTTGTAGTAGACTTTGAATTTAAAACTGAATTTAATGTTAATTTAATTTTTTTTTACTATAAGAAATTATATGGACTTTTCATTTTATTCCAGGTAGGCTTCTGGTAAAATGTCTTATTTCAGCATTTTCATGGTTATGCATCTATGTAACTTAGTATTTTTAATGGTAATTAATACCAAAATAGAATATACCCTGAAAAATCATTTGTACTACCTTTTTTAAATTCTGATTATATTTATGACAAAAGCACATATTTCTTTTTGATTATATATATAAAATACAAATCACTTTAGGCTGTTGTGGAGTACTGTGAAAGTCCAGTCACTTCAGAAAAAGTTCTGTCCTTTTCTCTACCTTCTTGAACCTCAACACAACCAGCCAGCATACACAGTGATAAGAAAGACTGATGGAAGTATGACATGTATAGGTTTACATCTTAAGGAGCAGGCAGCATTAAAAAACATTTATCATTAGTCTCTTAGCTCTTGGCTGTCACATATCTCTAATAAACACTTTCAGTCTGCTTTTACATTTCTGTGACCAAACAACCTGACAAGAAGAACATAGAGTAAGAAAAGATTATTTTGACTCATAGTTTCAGAGGATTAGTCCATAGTCAGCTGACTCTGTAACTCGGGGCCTAAATTAAGGCAGAACATTATGGTGGAAGGACATGGCAAAGGAAAGCACTCATAAATAGCAACAGGAAATAGAAAGCTCTCCACTCACCAGTGACAAAATATATACCCCAAAGGCATGCTCACGATGACCCTCTTCCTCCAGCCATACCCTACCTGCCTGTAGTTACTGTCCAACTAAATATATGCCATACCTCTCATCATCTAATCATTTCATCTCTGAAAATTGTTACATGGTCCATACATGAGCTTTGAGGAATACCTCATATCTAAACTATAATATGAACCTCTAAATCTAGTCCAAGTAATGCTTCTGTGGCAGGAACTTTTAACAACCCATATCAGGAAAATTATGTGCATCTAATAGTTTTAAATTTAAAATTAAAATTGAAATTTTACTCCTAGAATTTCTTCATAATGGTAATTTTGAATACTGTAATTTCCACCTCTATAAAACAACTAGAACAACAGAATATTATATATATTGGAAAACAGGTATCTCAGACTTGAAATGAGAGAATACAAATTGTTCTTGTCAGGGCATGGAACATTCTTCAAAATAGATCATATCATAGGTCATGAAATAACACTCAACAAATTTTAAACAATGGAAATCATATTGTATATCATTCAAATAATAATACAGTACAGTAGGAAAAAAAAGAAGAAATATGTCATGTGAAGTGGTGTGTGTACCAGTAATCTCAGCAACTGTGAATGCTGAGGCAGAAGGATCACAAATTGAAGCTATCCTCAGCAACTCTGTGAGACTCTACCTCAAAATAAAAAATAAAAAGGACTGGGAAGTAGTTTACTGGTAAAGCACCCCTTGGCTCAATACTCAGTGCCAAAAATGAGAAAAAAAAATAGAGAAAAAAATCTCAAATACTTACCATTTACTGCAACTTAAGGAATCAGAAAAATAAGAATGAACCAAAATCAAAGAAAGTAGGAATATCAGAAATACTAGAAAGAAGGAATATCAGAACAGAAATAAGTGAAATACTGACTTAAAAAAAATACAAAAGGTCAATTAAACAAAAGAGTTGGTTTGTCAAGAATATAAACAAAATGAATAAATCC